GCTTCTTTATAAAAATTGTAAATATAAAATCTTCCATTTTTAACTCATATTCAGTGACTTTTTGACATGGAGAAATTATATTTACTTACTTTAACGGTTGAAGTCTATGACAAAAGTATCCATTCTTTGGAATTATGCTACATATTCATGAATGTGGACTAATGTAACAATGAGTTGAATTCATATTCATGATGCTCAATTAAATATGTTTCAACTTCAAGTTAAGAAGCATTAATTTTTTTAAGGTTCCAAATATAATCAACATGTTGGGACTCGCTTCTCCTACTTTATAAATTCAATTTCTGATATATCGAGTGACACATGATTGGTTAAATCAGTCACCACATTTTAGGTTTGATTCACCTAACATGCAAAATTAAGTTACATTTTTTGGTCACCTTACACATATATGTGTTACTGCTTTCGGTTCATTTGAATACTTGGGAAAAGGTTTATCCGTGGACTGCAGCACCTTTCAGCCGGAGATTAGGTCTGTGTCTTTAATAGACATGGGTTTAACCCTTAAGAAAAAAACATATTTTCAGAAAATAATTTTAAGAAATAGTTTTTCTTATGTTCATTCCTTAAGATGAATTTGTAGGTTCACCAACTAATAGAAATATGTTATTTCATATTTATTTGTTTTTAAATAATATTTTCAAATTATATTATATTTGTAAAAATAAAAATAAAGAAACAATAATATTAATTGCGAAAATTGAATTAATTTTAACATTGTTGATGTCATCAATAAAACAGTAAACGCTAAACTATAAACCCTTGGTAAACCGTAAACATTAAATCATAACACTAAACCTTAAACACCGAGAGTAAAACTTTAAATCGAGACCCTAAACCCTATATATTTTAAATTTATCTAAGAATTTAGGATTTATCTATAGATTTAAGTTTTATTCAAGAGTTTAGGATTTAATTATTTGACTTTTTAGGATTTAATTTTTGTGATTTAGGTTTTAATATTTTGTTGACCGTGTTAACATTATTAGAAAAAGATTACTTATTACTATTTTTTATTTAATTTTACTTTTTATTTTGAAAATATAATATGACTTAATAAATTTTTTTTTTCAAAAACTAAATATGAAATGATAGATTTCTATTGGTTGATGAATCTTAGGGGATGAATTTTTTTTTTTTTAAAAAACACTTTAAGAAATATACATTTTTGTCTGTTGTATTATCTAAAAGAACCCAACTTGAATTAGGGCCCAATTTGAAAAGAGGCCAGGGAAAAGAGATCCAGGATCTGATTACCAATCGACAGCGTTGAATCCAACGGCCAAGATTGACTCAAAAAGCTCAAAGAGAACGTTAAAAGACAAGCTTTCAAGCGAGAATAAAGAGATAAACCTACTTCCTTCCTTCCAATTTTCTTATCCGGAAAAACCTTTCCGGTGAAGAACCTCCTCCTCTGCTTCCCTTCTCTGTTAGTTCCTTTCTTCCTTACCCTTTTAATCATTTGATCCTCTTCATTTTCAGTGGCTCAGTTTATGTATTGTGTGAGTGTGTGTCCAGGTTTGGTGTTGTTATGTTTGGATGAGAACTTGCTGAAACCTTTTTTAAAACCTTTTCCGCTAAGTATTGCTTTATTTCTGTAACTATTTTGGGTGTTTCACAGATATAAAGATGATTGTTTACTTAGTATGAAATGTGTCGCCTTTCTTCCTCTTTTTAATAATATTGTTGCAAAGTTTCATCAGTTTAGCTTTCAGGGTTGGGTTGTTTTGATTATGTGAACCATATATTGACGAAAAGAAGAGTCCTTTTTAGATATATATTAGAGATGTTACCTAACTGTTGAATTGTGTGTGTTTGTAGTGAGAAATGGCGTCAACTTTCACTGCAACGTCTTCCATTGGTTCAATGGTTGCTCCAACTGGTCACAAGTCCGATAAGAGACTTATGAACAAGTTGTCTTCAAGCTCATTTGGAAGGAGGCAGAATGTGTGCCCCAGACTCAGAAGGTCCAGTCCTGGAATTGTATGTGCAGCCAAGGAGTTGCATTTCAACAAAGACGGGACTACCATCAGGAAACTTCAAGTGAGTATCTGTTTCTTCTTACTCTGTTAATTTAAAATTAATTCCCAAACTTTACAAGTGGTGCTAATGGTTTTGCATTTGTACTAGGCTGGTGTCAACAAACTTGCCGACCTAGTTGGTGTTACACTTGGACCTAAAGGAAGAAATGTTGTTCTTGAGAGCAAGTATGGATCACCAAGAATTGTTAATGATGGTGTGACTGTTGCAAGAGAGGTATGGAATCGTTACCCCTCTGGTAGTTATGTTTATACTTTATTGAAAAAGACTCTTGTAACTCCGAATTTTTTGCTGTAGGTTGAATTGGAAGACCCTGTTGAGAACATTGGTGCTAAGCTTGTCAGGCAAGCCGCTGCCAAGACTAATGACTTGGCTGGTGACGGTACCACTACATCTGTTGTTCTTGCACAAGGTTTTATTGCTGAGGGTGTCAAGGTATGCATAACGTTGTTCTCTCATTTATTTTGGTGAAACTTACAGAATGGTGATATTAATCCTTGAAATTTTGTATCACTCAGGTTGTGGCTGCTGGTGCAAACCCTGTACTGATCACTAGAGGCATTGAGAAGACAGCAAAGGCTCTGGTTGCCGAGCTCAAGAAAATGTCTAAAGAGGTTACAAATTTTATACATATCTTTCTTTCTTTTACTATATGACGAGTCAAGAGTGAGTATGATCGCTGAAAGAAAGTAAAACATGTCTGATGTAGGTTGAAGACAGTGAACTTGCAGATGTAGCAGCTGTCAGTGCTGGTAACAACGAAGAAATTGGAAGTATGATAGCTGAAGCAATGAGCAGAGTTGGCAGGAAGGGTGTGGTGACACTTGAGGAGGGTAAAAGTGCAGAGAACGCTCTCTACGTTGTAGAAGGAATGCAGTTTGACCGTGGTTACATCTCCCCTTACTTTGTGACAGACAGTGAGAAAATGTCAGTTGAGTTCGACAATTGCAAGGTAACTGAGTTCATAACTCTGAGTTCGCTCACTCCATTGAAGTGTTTCACCAGTTGAATATTCTAATGCATTGTTTGTTTTTGGCTGCAGTTGCTTCTTGTTGACAAGAAAATTACCAATGCAAGGGATCTTGTTGGTGTTCTGGAAGATGCGATTAGAGGAGGATACCCAATTTTAATTATTGCTGAAGACATTGAGCAAGAGGCTTTAGCGACCCTTGTTGTTAATAAGCTTAGAGGTACACTGAAGATTGCAGCACTCAGAGCTCCAGGATTTGGAGAGCGCAAGAGCCAATACCTTGACGATATTGCCATTCTCACTGGAGGTAAGTTCTGTGTGCACCACTGAGCTCTTTTGTAATTAGGCATAATCGTTCTGGCCCTAATCTTGTCCTTTTTTCTCTATCTGCACTTGCAGCTACTGTGATTCGTGAGGAAGTTGGTCTATCACTTGACAAAGCTGGAAAAGAGGTTCTTGGACATGCCGCAAAGGTTGTCCTCACCAAGGAGACTTCGACCATTGTGGGTGATGGGAGCACACAGGACGCAGTGCAAAAGCGTGTTTCACAGATTAAGAATCTTATTGAGGTATTAAATTCAACTTTTAGTAGGATCTCTATTGCCTTTAGTCATTAGCATACTCACAGTAGCATGGTATTTGGTTTGTGCAGCAAGCAGAGCAAGATTATGAGAAGGAAAAACTGAATGAGAGAATTGCAAAGCTCTCTGGTGGAGTTGCTGTGATTCAGGTTTTAAGCAAACCCCACTTGGTGTTCTTTAATATAACAAAAGAACATGCTCGAGAGATATCAATTAAAGATCTTATTTATTGTTTCAAGGTCGGAGCACAAACGGAGACAGAGCTCAAAGAGAAGAAACTGAGAGTTGAAGATGCTCTTAATGCCACCAAGGTGATTGTGTATATCTTTTATTCTGAGATTTAAAGGCGTGCTATTTGTGTTCTCGTGAACTATACTTATCAGGATTTCTATTTCTCAGGCTGCCGTTGAGGAAGGTATTGTCGTTGGTGGTGGTTGTACTCTCCTTCGCCTTGCTTCCAAGGTTGATGCCATTAAAGCCGCTCTTGAAAATGATGAAGAGAAGGTAAATTCATCAAGCCTTCAGTTTCTAATTCTTAATCTTTTCAGGTCTTCTTCTCACTTCTCTGTTTCCCTTTACTTCAGGTTGGTGCGGATATTGTGAAAAGAGCATTGAGTTACCCTCTGAAACTGATTGCAAAGAATGCTGGAGTCAATGGAAGTGTAGTTAGCGAGAAGGTATTTTAACAGAAAACCTCCACACACTATTCAGATGCTTGAAGAGCTGACTTTTATTCATTGTCAGGTACTTTCTAACGAGAACGTGAAATACGGTTACAATGCTGCAACGGGCAAGTACGAGGATTTAATGGCGGCAGGAATCATTGATCCAACAAAGGTCAGTTGGTTGCATACATATACGTAAACTGTCTTCTCTAGCTAATTAGTCCATGAGCCTGAGTGTGTGTTTTTTCTGGATGTAGGTTGTGAGATGTTGCTTGGAACACGCAGCTTCGGTAGCAAAGACATTCTTGATGTCAGACTGTGTCGTTGTTGAGATCAAGGAGCCTGAGCCAGTTCCCGCAGGCAACCCAATGGACAACTCAGGTTTGTTCGGACATCCAGATACTTTCCTGTGAAGATCCACTTAATTCATGTCTCATCACTGATTATGTTTACTACTATTGTTTCAGGATATGGATACTGAGGAGATGAGGGATAAAGTAACTCTGCCGGAATTTGATTCCTTTTATCTTGCAATAGATGAGAGCTAAGTGTAATGACTTTGAACCAAGAGAATTTGATGTGTCTACTGAAATTTTGAATCAATATTATGAATAAAATCATGATTTTCTTATCCTGTGATCATGTCATCTACAACTAATGCATCCACATTACCAGACAGACTAATACATACCGTTGTGCTACATGTCCAGTCATAAAAGGAGACTGAAGAATCTTAGTTGAAAGATGATAACTTTTGTGACATTTCATATGAAAAAATACAACATGGTTGAAAATGGTAAGAGAGATTCACAGGTAAAAAGAACACCTTTACGATTGAATACAATTCCTCACAAGTATATATAGCCAAGAAGAGAAGAGAAGCTATAAACAGAACACATCAAAAGACATAAACTTAAGTCTTTAGGGTGGTGAACTATTTCTTGTTAAAGCCAAACAAGGATTTGATGGCGTTAATAGCACTCTCATTGATGAAAGATTCATCAAACTGCTTCATGAGTGGATCGAAATTCTCTGAGTTCCTGAGGTTTTCCAGATCTGGATCGCTTCGGATTCTCTGCAAACAAAACAATCCCTCAGCTTCAACAAACAACACCATCTCTATTGGTCACCATTGAAACATGAGAACTCTATTAAGATTACCTTGAAATCTTCATATCCTGACTTCAATGCTTCTTCCAGAGCAGAGAGACCAGCTTGAATCTATCAAAGGAACTCTCATGAACTCTGCAAGTCAAAATGCTATATCTGAAAAGATTAAAAGCTTTTATTTACCTGATTAAGCTTTGAGTAGCAACAAGCAACATTGTAACTTGCAACTGATGCTTCATCTGGTGTTGGTTTAGAGCCTAACACAGACTCAAACCTCTCCAGTGCTTCCTCATATTTACCATTCCTACATTGATTAGAGACACAAGTCAATACTGTATAAAACTTTAGGCCAACTCACAAGAGAGCACTTGAAGATTTACTTGGAAAACTGAAGCCCTTCACGAAGATCCTTCTCCCGTTGAGCTTTCAGTTCTTTCTTCCTCAAATAGTTTTGCATCTACCCACACAGTTTACAACCCAAACAATAGATTACTTTTGGTGTAACATAAATGCAGAAGGTTTCAAGAGGAAACTAACCTGAATTTCCCTCAATCTACTGCTAATGAAACCGGCATTTCTCTCAGCTCTTATTATCTCTTTCTCTGATAGCTCACCAGAATCATCCACCTTACCTACAAGTTAAGAAGACACAACACTATTAGTAAAGAGAATAGATGACACAACAAAGCCAGAGAGCTGAAAACTTGGAAAAAGGAAAACTAACCATATCGCTTCTCCATTTGCATAAGCAACGGACCTATCCTCTGACGGATTGTGTACATTGTCCTACCGTACTCTGCTGCAGGCCAAATCTCTGTCCCAAACACTGCACTGCACACTCAAATATTCAAAGTCCTATTGTTACATACTAATGCACCGATAGATACAAGGCAAGTTTGAAGGTCTTATAATTGAGATTCCAGTCAAGTTTTCACAATCTCTCTAAAAGATGAGAAAGAGAGCAAACCTTGTGGCAATAACTCTGTCGCCGACTGTGAATTTTCCGGTTCTATCAGCAAATCCACCAGGCAAGATAGCATCAATGTAAGTCCCACCATCTCTTCCTTTCCTGAACTTCAAACCATAAGGCTGCTCCACTTCTATCTCATATGTTTCATACTTCTCTTCTTCTTCTTCTTCATTCCCTTCTCCTCCTCCTGCTTCGGGTTTGGCTGTGGGCTCTGTCTCCGACGCCTTTAAAGCGAAGTTGCGGCGTTTTGACACATGGGTATTGCAAGAATTGCTCGAAAGGAAGAGACTTTTGGCGGAAATGAAACCGGGTTGAGTGATCAAGGCAGGGTTTTGCTTGGTCTGCTGGGTGGTTCTTGGCAGTGAATAGAGAGATGGATAACTGGTCGGAGCTAAAGACATGTTTGATTCTTATCTTTAGGTTCGAGCTCAGACACAAGCCAAAGAGACAGACGATTAGTTGGATTTTGCCATATGGAGGAGGAGAGACCTTGTGTGTGGTTTGGATTACAAGTTTGCATGATTTAGTGGCTATGATGTGTTTCGCCACGTGGCATCTTTTAATGGTACCAATGAGGTTGATCCCTTTCTTTTTTTTCTTCCCCATACATAAAATTCGCATCTCCCCTCACTTGGATTCTTTTATTACATACCAGTCGTGTTTTCACTCTAAAATATGACCAGTTCTGCATGAAGACAAATGCAACACTACAGCAAAGGGATATGTTCAGCGAAAGTGTCACTGGCTCTCTTGAGGAACTATCTATCTTTCCAGTTTTATGATTCTTATGTTTGCTGCAAACAATTATTAAGGATAGATACTGAGATGATCCCATAGCAACAACAATGTATTCACCTCCTACTCTTCGCTTTTCAGGAAGTTTCTCCGTTTCGACAAACACAAATTCTAACTTCCTCCAAGAACATACTTGTGGAGTGCAAATCAATTCACATTTATGTTTTCTGGAATTCACTAAACGTCTTGTGAACTGGATGAAAGCAAAACAGGACCTTCGAATTCTAGAGATATACTCTGAACTAGACCTATCAGATTTGCTTGTTACTTGAAGCAAACTTTGATAACATTTGCTTCAAGCTTTATACAACATAAGTAAGAAACTTAGATATGGAAAGCACCAACACAACATCCCTGAGAACTATATACACACACAGGCTCATTGTTATAAATGTGAAAGACCTGCGTCAAAGACGAGAAGCTGCTGAAGTTCCAGACAGATAAAGTTTCATGTAGACATTTGATCTACATGGTGATGTTAGATTCATATGAAACTAAATTGCGTAAATAAATATTGACGTACATAGGGGTTGCTATTGAGTAAACCAATTAAAAAGCAAGAAAATACATTCAGGAACATGTCTGAAATACAATCATCAGTACCTTAGTCATGAGATGATCCATCAGGAACCAAAATCCTTCAACGTCTGAGATGGAACCCTGTTCACCACAAAGATTTGACTAGACAAAAGAAGATGAAAATAAACCAAATGCCAGAATCTTTTGAACACTTTGCTTTATCATAACAGTGATGCAAAAAAAAAAAAGATGTAGAATTACAAGACACCATACAAACCAGACATGGTCAAAGATATAATAACTAAGCAAGTTTGCATATGTCTTCATACTCAATAGACTTTATGACTCTTCCTTCATAAACACCTTTCTCAATCTGAACTTTAGCACAAAACTTCTCAGTATCCACACCCAACAACTTGGCATTGGAACCACGATACGCCCCATTCACAATCTTCACCAACCCTCCAATCTGCGGAAGCACAGTCTCAAGCTCCTCCTGATCAACTCTCAACACATGCTTAGAATCAAGCATTTCAATCTCCCCAACATAACTATCAACCACTTTCCTCACAACACCCTTCTGCTTATAATACCCTTTCTCAGCCAGAGCCTTACTCATCACCTTCACAATAATCCCTTGACACAACCAGTAAGCTTTACGATTCATTCTCTCCTTCTTCTTCTCTTCCTCCTTCATCAACTCATCCAAAGCCGATCTCCTCTTCTCATCTCCTCCTCCTCCTCCTCCTCCGCTTCTCTTCCTCTTCTCCTCTCTCTCATCCTCCTCATCCTCAAACACACGCTTCGAGCTCTCACCCGTAGTAACAACAACCTGTTTAACCCCTCCACCAAGTGAAAACCCAACCTTAACACCACCACTCTTCAACATCAAGTCTTCATCTTTCTTCTTCTTCTCAACATCATCATCAACAACATCAGGATTAAACTTCTCCTCAGCTCTTTGAATCTGTTTCTTAATCTCCCTCTCTTGCTTCTCCTCCTCAGCTAAATCACTCTTCACCCTCTTATTCTTCAACCTCTCCTTAAACAAAGTCTCCGAGTCTCTATCAATATAAGTAATAAACCAACCTTTAGGAGTCTCCTCCACCTTACACTTCCCCGTCTTCCCCAAATACTTTATAAACTCCGTCAACGTCGCCCACTCCGTCGAATTCATATGCACATGATGCCTATCGTTGATGTACTCGTTGTAAACCACCGTAGCGGCGATTCGGGAGTACCGGTGGCTCCGCCGCATGAGATCGAGGAAGGTCGTCTCGAACTCCTCGGAGTAACCTTCGACGACGCGGTGTGGGTTCTGTCCGAAGACCTGCATCTGACGCTGGTGGGATTCGCTCATACAGTGGCACTTGAAGCCGTTCTCGTCGCGGCACTGTTTCTGGCACATCTGGCAGTACCATCGGAGCTTCTGGAGACCCTTGGCTTTCATCCGATTCGCCATCGCCTTCGGGGTTAGGAAATCGTTCTTGCCCATTGTTCAATCTGATCGTCGAAATTAGGGTTTGTTTTGGGCGGAAGGGTTGGGATTTAGGGTTTGCGTTAACGATTGATTCAGGTGGAGAAAAGATGGAGAGAGTAGAGAACTGAGTGGTCGATCTTACTTCTTGAGGATTGAAGATTGGCTAAGAACCGAGTTTTCTTTCTTCTCTAATCTTGAGGATTGAAGATGGACAAAATAAATTTTTTTTTTTTTTTTTTGTTGCTTGAATGGACAAAATCCTCTATATACTAAAACAAAAGTCACTTTACCAATCAAAATTTAACATGTGGAAAATACTATAAAAAAAAGAAATTGTTTGAAAAAAAAGTTTGTCTTCAATTCCTAATTTTCAGCACATATGTCCTAAATTTTCTCATTATATTTCATCCACGTTCAAAACCAAAACCAGTTGTCCACGGTTTTTAAATAGTTTTGTTCTTCTATATAATTTTGATATACTGAATAAGTTTATATTTTTCCTCTCTCAATCTTCTCCATCAAAGCAACAGATCTAAAAATCTCTTTTAAATTTTCAGTTTGCTTCGAGAAGTGTATTCCCATTTTTTTTTTTTTTTATGTATCAATGTAAAATTTTATCTATTCATCATCTGATTATTCAGTCTGCAAGATTCCAGATCGATATAGTGGAGTTATGGGAAGAGATTAACAGTGGTAAGTTGGTTTTTTAAGAGATTCAGTTTTAGATCACTGCAATATATAACTTAGAAACTTCTTCTATCAATTGGTTTACAGCCATTGTNTTTTTTTTTTTTTTATGTATCAATGTAAAATTTTATCTATTCATCATCTGATTATTCAGTCTGCAAGATTCCAGATCGATATAGTGGAGTTATGGGAAGAGATTAACAGTGGTAAGTTGGTTTTTTAAGAGATTCAGTTTTAGATCACTGCAATATATAACTTAGAAACTTCTTCTATCAATTGGTTTACAGCCATTGTGGGTTACAGTTTGGAGAGATGGGATGAATCATAATCAAAATATTCTCGTGAAAAGGAACTAAAGGGGCAAGCATAAGGTTTTGGCGTGAAAAGGTTTTGCATGTTTTTCACTTTTTATTCTTCTTCTTTGATTTGTTGATTAATATTTCCTTTGTTGAATCAATTATTTTTCAGCATTCACTACTGCAGTTGAGTTCGACCCTAAAAGCTAAAACTATTGTTAGATGTATCACTGAAATTGCATTTCTGATCCAAAATTATATTACTATACTTTATTATTGCGAGACAATTCATTATAATTTTATAAAAAGTAAATTAAGGTTGTAAAATTTAATCTTATAAATTTAATAGACTATGAAAATAAGTAATGTGGGTTAATTTTACATGTGTGCTTTTTATAAAAGATGTTAGGTAAATTAAAATAAAATATCAATGCAGCAGTTATTTTACTAAAAAAAGAAAAAAAAATATTAGATTCATCGTATTTAAATTTACATTAATTAAATTAAATATATTTTATTAGAAAATTCTAGAACAAAATTAATGGATCAAATAAAGTATTTTAACTATATTTTACACTCCATATTTTGGTATTTTAAAAAGTTTGCAAGCATGTATCCATTTCATAATGATATCTGTTTTATTCCTTCAACTGATTTGTTTCAGTGCAGAAATCTCTTATATTATGTGCCACTCACTATTCATATAATATATTAAACAATCATTTATTCTGATTAAAATTATGACATGATCAAACAATTTAAGAAACTGTAAATTAACCTGTGCGCAGCACAGGGGTTATACTAGTATTTTCTAAATTTTAGGAGATTAGGCTAGATTTTTTTTTCATCTGATAAATTTCATTCATTCGAAGTAGAGATTACTGTACAATGTTTGATACCTAAACTGGCAGAAAAACAATATATCCCCAGAAACAAGTGCTTATAAAATAGGCCACTGAAACCCACATCGGAGTCGCTTATAAAAATTGAGATAAATTCACATCTAAAATAACAAAATTCAAAATCTCATAGCAGAACTAGCATCTTCAGCTTACAACATCTCTTACATCTGTAGAAGCCGGAAAACTGGATCGACATAAACGAAATAAGAAAGACAGAGTTAAGGAAATAAACGATTATATAAGACATGGAGGCGAGATAAATCTCTTTCCTTAACTTTTAATATTCGTTTTGTAATGAGACGAAACTGTACGAATATTGAATCCCAGGATACAACAATGGTAGACGAATCATGCTTCACTCGTGAAACGATGTAACGAACTAAAACTCTACGAACACTCTCTTTAAAAACTTACGATGAGAGATTGCCGGATTTTTTCTGTGTAAAAAACCATAGAATGAAGAAAGAGAAGAGACGATATTTAAAGAGAAGACGAGGAGCAACTGCCCATAACGTGTGCTCATTAGTGGGGATTTGGCAAAGATCTCGGGAAGTTTAAATTACGAAAACTTATCCCCCCAAGACTCGCTCTCTCTCGTTTAATAAAATATCTGGCGAGAAATAAACAGCATTAAATAAAATTGTATGCTGTTTTTTGAAGTTTAAATGGCAAAACGTTGAGCTTAATTTGGTCCAAAAACATAAATTCTTGCGAGAAATAAACAGCGTTAAATAACACCCAAGCCCACACCGAGCCGAGCCGGCCGGACGGCGGTGGCAGCGCGCATGGGGAGCCATCTCTCTCCCTGAGCTGTTTAACCTCTCATAACAAGAGAACATATATATATAGCTCATCTCCTCTCTAACTTCCTGATGTGGGATGTTTGATATATTCTTTGTTTGCACACTAAGGCCACGTAATGGGCCATTTCTTTTCACAGATTCATTTTAAGCCCATTGGTTAATTAGATGATCCAACAACACCCACACGCTTTTGAACAAGATTTAATATTGTCGCCCGCAACCCACCAAACAATAACATGAACTTCTGCCAACAATAAGAGCACTTCTCTCTAAAACCAAAGAACCCAGACTTTATAACCCAGCAAGATAGAACCATTCTAGAGTCACACACTCTTTCGGATATAGCGGCGACGCACTTCATGCGACAAGACAATACCTCATTAAAAGTCCTACAAAGAACACTCCAATTTCA